TGGCCATTTCTCAGTTATTCAAGCTCTGGGGATTGTGCAGAGCTTAAACTGTGGTCTCCGGAGTCAGAATAACTGGATTCAAATTCTTGCTAGCTGTGACTTGGCCTCTCTGTGCCTGTGATGCTAAATTTCTCATGACCTTGGTTCTCATCTGGAAAGTGACGCTGATAGAGCCAACCTATTTGTTGGGAAGATTTTTTTTTTTTTCCAACGTTTTTTATTTATTTTTGGGACAGAGAGAGACAGAGCATGAACGGGGGAGGGGCAGAGAGAGAGGGAGACACAGAATCGGAAACAGGCTCCAGGCTCCGAGCCATCAGCCCAGAGCCCGACGCGGGGCTCGAACTCACGGACCGTGAGATTGTGACCTGGCTGAAGTCGGCCGCTTAACCGACTGCGCCACCCAGGCGCCCCATGGGAAGATTAATTGAGAGAAGGCACATAAAGTCAAGCACAGTGAGTGGCAAAGGACACCGTTCCAAGTGTCAGTTCTTATCATCACCCGTGAAAGAGAGCAGATGACTGATGGCTCTGGAGGTGGCCAAGATGGGGATAAGGAGAATAGCCCACACCACTTTCTCTGCCCTCCCTGGGGGTAGAAGAGCAGGGACAGAAAGGACTGGTCCCTATGATCCTGCACCAGGGCATGGAGTCCTTGAGGGTGCGACCAGCACCCTTTAAAGAGGGCAGAACCTGTCCGGCCCCCATACGTCTGGCTTCCCTTGTAACCAGTCCAGCAGGGCAGAGGCAGCTCTCAGTGCCTCCCAGTGCCTCATCCCTGACTTCCCACTTTTGCACTTTGGCCATCAAACCTGCTTCAAGGCCTAAGTCATCGTTCTCAAGAAGTTTTCTTTTATTGTCCCCACCACCACCCCCCGATCCTCAGACCAGTAGTGAATCTCTTTAGCTCAATTCCTAGAGCATTTATCATCTTGTGTTGTGTCCACTCTTACTGCTACTATTTCAACCAACCTAATTTATTAATTCAGCAAATATGTATTGAGCGTCTTCTCTGTGCCAGGTACTGTTCTTGGCTCTGGATAGCAAACAAGACACTCATGGAGCTAACATCCTTGTAGGGGAGTGGGTGCAAAGAAAATACACAGAGAATATATAGGTCAGGGAGTGATGAGTGCCTTGACTATACAGGGGGTAGGGGACAGAGTGGGGGTGGGCGAGATGGAAACAGAGTGGTCAGGAAAGGCTCGGAGAAGAGCAAAGGTGATTCCCTGAGACAGGAATGGGTCTTAGGGTTTTTAAGGAACAGTAAAGCAGTCAGTGTGGCTGCAGTGGGGTGAGTAAGAGGAGAGGGGGCAGGAGATGGGGTCGGAGAGGGAGAATTTTGATTCTTAATGCGTTATTGGAAACAGGAGTGTTGCAATCTGAATTGTTTTAGCCGAGATGTCACAAACCTACAGTTATTGGGTAAATCTCACAATTGAGTGAACACACACACATAACCACCCCCCAGGTCAAGATACAGAACGTTCTTGGAGCGCCTGGGTAGCTCAGTCGGTTAAGCGTCCGACTCTTGGTTTCAGCTCAGGTCACGATCTCATGGTTTTGTGGGTTCAAGCCCACACTGGACTCCACGCTGACACTGCAGAGCCTGCTTGGGATTCTCTGTCTCCCTTTCTCTCTGCCCCTCCCCCACGTGCACTGTCTCTGCCTCTCTCAAAATAAATAAGTTTAAATTTTTAAAAATATAAAACATTTTTATCACCACAAAGGGCTTCCTCATGCCCCTTCCCAGTCAATACTCTCTCCCATCCCCATCAAGTAACCACTATTTTTACTTCTATTCCCATAGATTAATTGGGTCTATTCTTGAATTTCTCTTAAGTAGAATCCTACCGTTTGTAGTCTTATGTGTGTGGCTTCTTTTACTCAGCATTACGTCTGTGAGTGAGGTTCCTTCATGCAGGTTGTAGTTCTTTTTTATTGCTACGTAGTATTCCGTTGTAATAGTATACCGCAATTGATTTATCCATTCACCTGCTGAAGGACATTCTGGCTTCTTCCAGTTTCACGGTCATTAATAAAACTGCTATTGATCACTGTTGGCTGTGTCTTTCACTGGACATCAAGCACTGATTTCTCTTGGGAGTGGAAATTCTAGGTCATAGGTTAGGTGTACATTTAGTCTTTGTAAGCACTGCCAAGCAGGTTTCCAAAGTAGCTGTGCCAATTCACACTCCCCACCAACAGCATATAAAGGTTCCAGTTGCTCCACACCCTTGCTGATACTGGTATTACCACTTTTTAAAATTGTAGTCATTCATGATCTGATGTAGGTTTTTAGCAGAGCAACCTGGCTGCACTCTGAGAACCAAGTGGTGGGATTAGGGTTGGGCTGGGCAGAGGAAACTGAGACACCAGACAGGAGGCTAGTGTGGGTCAAGACCCACAAATGGTTTGCACTAGATGGTAATAGAGGAGTCAGAGAAGTGGATCAGTCAGGACGTGTCCTGGAATTGTAGCAGGACAGACTGGTTGATGAGTGAGGGAGGGATGAGAAGGAGGCATCAGGGCGAGTCCTGCATCCTTGCCTTGAAAACCCGGGTGGATGAGAGGACCGTTTTCTAAGATGCAGGAGACAGGGAATAACAGATGTGGGCCAAGGGAAGGTCAAGGACTCATGGGTAGCTGTCTGAATATGTCATCTGCTGGAGCTTAGGCCATCCTTAGAGCACTAAGGCTCTAGATGCCCCCATCCTAGTATAACTGGCAGACACTGGTTGTGTGAATGGCGCGTGCTGTCTGGGTAGCGGCTGGGGGAATGTGCATGCATGCTGTCTGCAGTGACAGATCTGAGTTAGGGGCCCAGTTCTGCCCCCTCGCTCGCCTGTAACTTGGACCTTATGCTAGGATTCCATCTTCCACCTTATGGTGTTAGAATTTAACAAGATCCCATGTCTAGGGCACCTGGAACATGGAAGAACTCAAACTTCCACTCTTCCAAGTTCCAGACACTATGTGGCAAGTCTTAAGAGGCTGGCACTTTTCCCTCATCCACATTTTAAAAGTCTTTCCAGACTGAGAACAGCCCTGCTGAGGGGCCCAGCACACTGAGAGGCGGTCCCCTCTCCCCTCTCCCCTCCCTCACCCTCTCCCTCAGAGAAACAGAATGGATAACAGCAAGCAGCTTGATTCATAGACTTTATCAGCTTTTTCTCCAGCCAGCGGCTTCTGCAGACAACCGAGCCTGTACGGTACACACGGTTCACTCTGGCAAAGCTGGGGAGCAGCGGGGCAGGCATCACGGCTGGGGGCGGGAAGCAGCGAAGACTGGACCAGTGGGCCCCAGTGCTTGAGGAGGGTTGTGGGAGCTGCGAGAGAAGGCTGCTGCGTGGGGTCAGGAGGAGGGCGGCCCAGGGAGAGGAGGGCGCGTGTTAAGCTGCAGGGAGGAAGCAGGGAGCGGGAGGGGGGCCTATGGTCACCGTCCTTGGGGGATGGAGGTGGTGGGACACCGTGCCGGTGTATGTATGGGGAATGAGGGGTCCATAGACATCTTTTGTGGCAGGAACGAGACAGACCACTGTATAAAAGGGACTGTACAACATAACCTATGATACAATGTTTACATATGATACAAGGCTCTTTCCCTCTTTGAGTTTTAAAAAATAAATTTACAATTCCAGAGCTTTTGGTAAAAAATATATACACCCTCAGAGCAGCAGCTGTTTTTGCTGTTGCTGCTGCTGCCTCTTCAGAAGAGAAAGAGGTGGCGCCAGAAAGGAGGGTGAGGCTGTGCCAGGGAACCTCACCCGGTAGCTGCCAGGAGCCCTGTGCCCCTCAGCCCTGGAGGCCCGTGTGGGAGAGGGAGGGGAGACAGAGAGGTATTAAAGGCATCACCACAGTCCAGTGTGGCCTTTACAGTCTCAGCCATTCCCTCCCCTCACTTCTGTGGGCTACCTGCCCAGGGACAGGGGTCTGCCCCACCCCAGCTCTGATGGGGAGGACCAAGGGGGAGTCAACACAGGGAGGAGGATAGAGACCATGTTGTTGGTGTCCCACAGAAGAGCCAGAAGGAGGGGAATGACAGCTCCCTTCTTAGCAGTAACACACCGCAAAAGAAGGAGTGTGGGCAGCAAACACCCCCAACTCCTGATACCACCACGTCCCACCCCACAATGCAGAGGGAGTGTCCTGTAGGCAGCTTAGGCCTGTGTTTCCCTGAGCATCTCTTACCCTCTCACCAGAGCCCACCCAGAGACCCTGGGGAGGCGTGAGTGGAGGACTCCCAAGGGCTGACAGATAACCCCTTCCCCCTCACTGCTGCCCCCTGCCCCACGAGCAGCTTCACCCACAAGCTTGGGCACATGGGGCAGCACAAGGAGCTGAGCAGGGAGTGGTGGGGGTGGGGACAGCACCCCGCACCATCACAGGGCCAAGTAGACCAGGGTAGCACCAAACAGAAGGACCCCTGCTACACACAACACCCTCCCTCAGTTACAGATGCGCTGCTGCTTCTTAAAGGGGACAGGTGCACACACACACGCACGCGCGCACACACACACACACACACAGACACAAGGGCAATATAATATTCCAGGAGGGGTGCATCCAGGGGTCCCAGCCCTGACCAGGGAGAAGCCGGCCACGGGTGGAGAGGAAGGCTGCCAATCCCTTCCACAGTTCCGCTCTGTCTCACAGACAATGTGGGCAGCTTTCCTGTCTGCGTGGGAGGAGGAGGTTGGAAGCTCCGTCTCTGGAACAGACCTTGATGAGAGGGGGCAGAGGAAGGAGTGTTCTGCCCCCCATCCCTGCGAGGGCAGGACCCAGCAGAGTGCGGTTTTGGCTTGAAGGAGCAAGGGGGAGAGGACTTCAGCAGGATGAACAGGCTTATGAGCCCAGGGGTAAGTCCATCCGACTCTTTCCTGAGGGGCAGGAAGTTGCTCCAAGGGAAAGATGTCAGAGGTGGGTTGGGATAGCGTGCAAAGTGCTTGAGTGCCAGGTGCCCAAGGACCCTGGTGGGGCACTGACCAAAACCTCTGTTCTCACTGACTATTAGCCTCCAGCTTGTAGGAGAGCTCGAAGAGGAGGTTCTGGTTGTCGATGACCTGGAACTGGCGCACATAGGCCTTGGTCTGGAGGTGATGGGGGGATGCCTCCATATCCAGGCCTGGAGGTGTGACAAGAGAGAGGCCTTCAGGCTCCCAGCCTCCCTTCTTGCTCTACATGCCTACCAGCCAGAGAAGAGGGGTGTGGATTGGGACAGGAGGGTCCCTAGAGAGGCCAAAGAGAGGATGGAGAGCTGACAAGTTTAAGGAAATAAAGAATTGAGGACGGTCTCCTCCCGGAATCCTCCCGCTCAGTCAAAGCTCTACCTGTAAAGCTCTTAGAAGCCTGGGTACTCACAAAGGGGCCGGCTCCGGTATTTGCGGATTGTCCTCACCTTTTCAGCCACTGAATGCTGGGAGATGACAAGAAATGAGCCCTAAAAAGGGTACAGAAAGATGCTCCCCCCCTCTTATGCTCCCCCTGGTCTATTCCCCAACTCTGCTGGTTTGACTCCACTCCCTCCAGGGTCTAATTCTGGAGGGTCTCTGAAGAACCAAAGAAGGGGTGTAATGGGGCTGGTGAGGGGAGGTAGAGTTGCCCCCCCCCCCCAGCTCCCTGTCAGCTTTGTGGCCTGTGGGCGTGTTGCCACAGCAATGGCAGCAGGGACGGTCAGGAGTCTGTCAAGCAAGCTGGGCACCAAGAAGGAAGGCTGCTGTCTTTAGGGGGCTGCCAGGATGGGGGGGGGGAAGGATGCCAGCCCCTGCTCCTGGGCCAGGGTAGGCCGTGTCACTCACCAGCTTCTCAATGTTCACCAAACCATCAACAAGAGTCTTACTCCCCTCATGCAGGAAAGTCAGGTCTAGGGGAGGGAAGAGAAGCAAATGTGAGGAAGAAGAGAGGAGGTCCAAAGGGCCCTTCCCCTCCCCCACAACCCCTCAGTGCGGGGCTCCTCTCCAGTGGGCATTCAGAGCTAAGTGGCAGTGGTTGATAGCCGGAACTGGGGCACAGAGACTGTGGCCAGAAGAGCATGGGATTGACTCTCACCTTTGAGGATCAGAGGCACAAAGGGAATCACAGGAGGTTTCATCTTGGAGATGACTTCTCGGTAGCTTTTGTGGTTCCTGCAGGGGTCCTGGCATTCCGCAGAAGAGAGGTTAGGGGACACATAGTCCCAGTGTACCTCAAAGATGCCCCCTACTCCTCCCTCATCCCCCTGCCCTAGATCCATCTCTGATCAGAGAGAGGTATGTATGGGTGTCTAGCTGGGGGTGAGATGGGGAGGAGCTTGACTGTCCTCCCCTCACCTCCAAAGCAAACAGGGCAGCAATCCACCCACCCTTCCCCCTCCCAGCATGCCAGGGGAAGGGTCTTGGGCACTAAAAACCTTAAAGGCAAGCTTGAGGAGGAAGGTTTGTGGGAACAGAGGGTCTCTGGGGTGCAAGCCCAGGGGCAGATAAAAGAGCTGAACCCACTCACTGTCAGGTTCTCAAATTTGCGGAACAAATTCTTGAATTTCCCGGGCAGCTTCTGCAGAGAGTTTGAAGGAAGGAGAAGGAATGTCAGACTGGAGCTCCTTGCGTTTCAGGGGACCTCTGGCTAATCCCCAGGTGTCAGAGGGGGAAAGGGCCCGGCTATCTTGCAAGGGGCTGGCAAGCTGGTCTGGTGGGTAGGGAAATAGAATCAGCTCTTGGTGAGGTCTGGGGAGCTTGAAGCAGCCCGGAGGAATGAATTATTCTGGGGAATTCGAGCCTCTGCGTTGGCATTGCCACGCACAAGGGGCCTCACTGAGCGCTGGCTGGAATCCAGCATCCAAGTCTGCGACCTGGCCTGGGCTGCCTGCCCCCCTCTCCGGCGGGGATTCCGGCTTTTTACTAATTTGCGCAAGGACAGGGCGCATTAACCTAGCGGCGTGCCTCGGGCCTGGATCTGCCAGAAGAGGGCGCCTCCTTCCGCCTGGCACAAAGGCTCCCTAAGGGCCAGCCGCACCGCGGGAGGCAGCACCGGGGGTGAGCCCGGCAGGCCAAGATCCCCGAGCCGGGCCAGCCCAGGCGGGAGGAGAGGAGAGGGCAGCCATGCATCACCTCCCAGGTGAGCCGCAGGCGGCTGACAGCGGCGTTGTCCAGCCCCATGACCACGGCGTAGAAGGACAGCAGGTCCTGGTTCTGCTTGCAGCTGCAGGGGTGGGAGGCGAGGTCAGCGCGAGGTGGGGGGAGGGGGGTGGTCTCCGCGCTCCCCCTCCGCCGGCTGGCCGCACTCACATGGCCGCGATCTTGAGGAACTTCTTCAGCAGCTGCGCGCGCTTGCCCGGGGCCTCGCACAGCAACACCTCGGTGGCCACCCAGTGCGTGACCTCGCTGCAGCGCTGCAGCAGCAGCTCCAGGTTGGCCGTCTCCCGGCGGCCGCGCTCTCCGTGGAACACGTAGTCCACGAATTCCAGCTGCACCCACGTCCGCGTGGCGGAGGGGCCGCCGGGGCGTGGGGGGTGTGCGTGGGCGGGAGGTGAATTGGACCCGAGGAGGCAAAGGCAGGAGGGCAGGGGTAGGAGGGGTGGAAATTAGAAGAAGCCGGGACAAGACGGGATGCAACAGAAATGGGGGAAGAGGGGAAGCACCATTAATAATACTCTCCCATCTACTGGGCGCTTATTTGGTGCCAGGTCCTCGAACCATCTGATAGACAGTATTGTCACTGCCTTAATTTCTCTCTTTAGTAGAGAATATTTTAAAGATACCTTATCTGGTTAGACCCACTTTACTAAGGACTCTCACTTTGCCGCTTTTTTCAGATTGGAGACGTAAGGCTTAGAGGGTCTGGGGGTGAATTGCCCGAGGGCACCCCGCCAGCCACCTTCTAATGCAAAGTTCAGCTGCACACATGGCCCGTCTCCAGGACCCCACGTTGGCACATTTCTCCCTCCAGGCCCCCAGCCCAGCACCACCTTCAGTCCCCACCTCGTGCACACATCGAAACAGCTCCCAGTGGAAGGCAGTAAGGTGGTTGGCGACGTCCTCAGGCTCCACTCGGTGGATCTCTGTGTCTCCAGGGGAGACCTGGATCTCCTCGGGGAGGGGCATCTGGTGACAGGCAGGGGCTGGACTCCACTCTGGGCTTGTGAGTTTCTGCCCCATAGTCCCTCTGGGCCCTCACTCCCAGCCAACGCCCTTGTGACGGAGTTCTTACCAGCGCCTCATAGCTGTCGCGGGTGCAGGCAAACAGGTGACTGTTGATGCCCAGCGTGGTGAAGACACAGTCTTCAGTCGGCTGGAGAAGGACCTTCTCTGCAGGAGAACGAGCTGTTCTGCCTCAGCCCTGGCTATCTGCACCCTCACACACCCCAGCCACTGTCGCCATCCCGTCTAGAAACTCCTAACCCTGCATGGACACATTCTAGACGAATGGGACTGCTGTTATCACCAGTTTGTGCCACATTCATCTGAAATTTTCAAATAATGATTTCCTCAGCATTCATCACCTTCTTTTACCCCCCAACATTCTTCCACAGCTCTTCTGTCATTCTATCATCCCCATGATACTGGAATATTTTTTCCCTTGCCTCAGAGGAAAATAGGATTCTGGCTACATTGCAGGCTCTCTGCCTTCCCACAGGGATTGGAGGCCCACCCTGTGTTTTAGCCTCAAAAACGTAGCCTCCAGGAGGTTAAAGAACCAGATCCCAAGATGAGTAAGAGGCAAGCACCTAGATCACAATCCAAGTGTCTTGGGCCAGTGCTTTCCAAACTTTAATGTGCATAGGAATCACCTGGGAATCTTGTTAAAATGCTCATTCTGAGTCAGCAGGTCTGGTGGGGTCTGAGGTGCTGCAGTTTTAATAAGCTCCCAGGTGATGCTCATGTGGCTGGCCTCAGGACCACACTTCAAGTAGCCAGGGCCTAGAATTTGTCTTTAGCCATGCCCCAGAGCTCTGGGCAGGTGAGTTTCTCCTCTCCTGCCTGCCCCCCCCCCTCACCCACCCCCCAGCCCTGCTGTTCCTGAGCCTCACCTCCGGAGGAAGCCACAGCTACCAGGATGAGCGAGTCCTCGCGCCCTGCAGGCTCCTCTGAGTACTGCAATTTCTCTGTCACAGAACCCAGAATGTCCTGCACTGACGCTGAGAGGCGGCTGCGTATGGTCACGTAAGAGTGGTCAGGCATGTAGACCCGGCAGAAGACTGGGCAGAGCCAGGAAGGTGGGTTTTCATTAGAAGGCAGAATGGCAGTGTTGGCATCGTCCCCTCCAGGGCACCTCTGTTCCCCATCCCATCTCACCCCTAACCCTAAATTGGTTAGCTTCTGAAAAAGATGCTGGAAACAGGACAGGTTCTACAACATAAGGAGAATGCCCCAAATCCAGAGACCCCAGAGGGCCCTCTGAGCCACCCTGGAAGCTCTGCCCCTCTTAGTGCCCCCACTCACTCTCATCAGAGCCCCGGAAGGCCACTCGGGTCTGCAGACAAGAGTCTAT